AAAAAAGAAAGGAAGGAAGGAAAGAAGGAAAGAAAGAAAAAGAAAGAAAGAAAGAAAGAAAACTAAACAAAATAAATTCAATGTAATAATTTGTCAAAATTCCAGTAGGCTATTTTTGTTGTTTTTGAGTAGGAGTCTTGCTCTGTGCAGTGGTGTGATCATGACTCACTACAGCCTCAACTCCCTGGGCTCAAGCAATCCTCCTGCCTCAGCCCCCCAACTACCTGAGACTACCGTTGTGCACCACCATGCCTAATTTGAAAACATTTGTCTTTTTTTAGAGAAGGAGGTCTCACTATATTGCCCAGGCTGATCTCAAACTCCTGGGCTCAAGCAATCCTCCCACCTCAGCCCCCAATTACCCGAGACTATAGGTGTGCACCACCATGCCTGGCTAATTTAAATTTTTTATTTTTTTAAGAAAAGAGGTCTCACTGTATTGCCCAGGCTAGTCTCAAACTACTGGGCTCAAGAAATCCTCCTTCTTTGGCCCCCTAAAAGTGCTCAGATTATAGGCACTAGCCACCATGTCCAGCCTTTTTTTTTTTTTTGACAAGCTATTCCTAAAATTTATAGGGAAATGGCTGCCTAAGGATTGATCACCATCATGAATGACACAGTAAATATCTGAACCAGGAAGTTTATGACCAGCCAACTCCTTGAGATAACAAATGGTCATTGATGTTCTTCACCCTGGGAAGTTATCAGTACCTTTCACAGAAGTTTGGGAAAAACTAGCCAAAATGTACAAGACCACACTGGTGTCAGTTACTTGGGAGGCTGAGGCATGGGAATCGCTTGAACCTGGGAGGCAGAAGTTGCAGTGAGCCAAGATCACACCACTGCACTCCAGCCTGGGTAACACAGTGAGACTCTGTCTCAAAATAAAAAAGATGTTGAACATCATAAGTCATCAGAAAAATGCAAATTAAAACCAAATGACACTTTGGTAGGCTGAGGTGGGTGGATCATGAGGTCAGGAGTTTGAGACCAGCCTGGCCAAGATAGTGAAACCTCGTCTGTACTAAAAATACAAAAATTAGCCAGGTGCAGTGGTGGGCACCTGTAATCCCAGCTACTCAGGAGGCCGAGGCAGGAAAATCGCTTGAACCAGGGAGGCAGAGGTCATAGTCAGCCGAGATCATGCCACTGCACTATAGCCTGGGCAACAGAGCTAGACTCTGTCTCAAAAAAAAAAAAAAATGAGATACCACTACACAGTTACTAGAATGGCTAAAACAAATAAGATTGACCAAGTGAACTAGTGTTGACCTGCATTTGGAGAAACTCATATATTGCTAGCAGGAATGTATTTGGATTCGGAACTCATTTTGGTGGTGGCAGGACAACTGGCTTTGACATGATTTATGGTTCCTTGGATTATGCAAAGAAAAATGAAGCCAAACATAGACTTACAAGACATGGCCTGGATGAGAAGGAAAAGGCCTCAAGAAAGCAGCAAAGGGAACACCAGAACAGGCTGGGCATGGGGGCTCATGCCTGTAATCCTAGCACTTTGGGAGGTTGAGGCAGGTGGATCACAAGGTCAGGATTTTGAGACCAGCCTGACCAACATGGTGAAAGCCCGTCTCTACTAAAAATACAAAAATTAGCCAGGTGTGGTGGTGTGCACCTGTAATTCCAGCTACTCAGGAGGCTGAGGCAGGAGAATCACTTGAACCAGAGGTGGAGGTTGCAGTGAGCCAAAATCACGCCACTGCACTCCAGCCTGGGTGACAGAGTGAGACTCCATCTCAAAAAAATAAAAAAAGAAAGAACACCAGAACAGAACGAAGAAAGTCAGGGGTACTGCAAAGGACACTGATGTTGCTGGCGAAAAGTCAAAGGAGTAAAGATGCTGCAGTGACATTATGTGCAGCCACTGTGTGGCCTTTTCATGAGAAGATTAATAAGCTAATAACTTTCATGTGGCAAAAAAAAGTTTATATGAAAGTGCAAAGAATCCAGAAAAGTAAAACAATTTTGAAAAAGAAAAAGTTGAAGGATTTACCTGATTCTAAAACTTACTACAATACTATGGTAATCAAAGAAGTGTTATAAAGACACAATAATAGACATTTAGATAACTGGAAGGATAGAAAGTCCAGCAGCAGACCTTCACATTTTGTGTTTTTGTTGTTGTTGCTGTTGTTTTTGAGATGGAGTCTCACTCTGTTGCCCAGGCTGGAGTGCAGTGGCACAATCTTGGCTCACTGCAACCTCTACCTGTCAGGTTCAAGCAGTACTCCTACCTCAGCCTCCTAAGTAGCTGGAATTGCAGATGTGTGCCA